GCTGCGTGGAGGAGGAGGATGGGGGGCCGTCACCGGCCGAGAGCTGTGCAGAAGCCAAGGGCTGTGAGAGGAGAGAAGGGCAGCAGTGCGGGGTCTACACCCCGTTCTGCGCCCCAGGACTGCAGTGCCGGCCGCCCGAGGGCCAGGAGGAGCCTTTGCGGGCGCTGCTGATGGGTCGGGGACGCTGCCGCCCAGCCCGAGAGCCCACGGGTGAGTCCGTGCCCTGCCCCAGCCCAGCCCCGGCAGCCCAGCAGCGGTCCCCACGGGGATCGGGAGAGGCGGCTCTGGGGAAGAGGGCGCCTTGTGGAAACAGCAGAAAATAGTGGGGACTAGGAAAGAAGGCTGGGGTGTGGCTAGGGGACTTGGAGATAAAGCAGAGAGGCATCGGGCTTCTAACTTGTTTTTTGTTCACTTTTTACATTCCTTGAAAAGAAAGGGTTGGAGCTGGGGGAATGAGGGGGTTTAGGAGCATCCTGGCCTCCCTAGCGGAGACAGGACCATTTTCATCTAGAGAAGAAAAGGGGATCCCAGACTCCTTAATTCCGTCCATGCTGAGAAGTCTTTTCCTAATGCCATTGTTGAAAGTGACTGCGGTCTAACAGAAGCGGACAGACTAGACTGCAACCAGGAGTGGGCTCAGAGGGCCTGGGGAGAGGGACGTAGAAAAGAATTTGCCAAATCTGGCCTATAATTTAAACCTGCTCAGAACCCCCACCCTCCCTACCCCAGGAAAGAAGAAGAATGAGAGGCTGAGTCAGAGAAATGAGACAGCACCCCAAAGATGGGGGGTTGATGGGAGATGAGAAGGGGCAGGAAATGCAAACTACTGCACTCAGAGGCACCGGAGCTCCCAATTTGTATCCTGAGGCAGATGAAAACTAAACTGGGAGCTTCTTTTGGTCCTAAGAGCCTGAATCTATGCTTATGGGAATCCTCTTAGAAGGGGTGATAGGTGAGCAGAAGACAATTTGGAGCATGCTCATGGTTTGGTGCTAAATGCAGGGAATGAAGGAAAAGATGTGAGGTGAGGTGGGGTCCTTTGCAGGAAAGGATCAGGGTCCAGACTGCAGAGGAAACTGCCCTTGAGTTGAAAGTAAAAGGCAAATGTGCTATCATTTTGTTTCTCATCATAAAGAGAATAAGAAGATCCCTTCAGGGGTTCTAATATCTAATTCTATAACCTAAGCAAAACCAGGCATGACAGTACACATCTGTAATACAAGTACTGGGAGGCTGAAACAGGAAGATTGGCAAAAGTTCAAGGTCAGCCTGAACTACCAATGTCTTTAAAAAAAAAAAAAAAAAATATATATATATATATATAGAGAGAGAGAGAGAGAGAGAGAGAGAGAGAGAGAGCATGCTCCCTTCCCTGCCTTATCCTAACTCCAATCTATTTCTTCATCCTTTCCCAGTCCCTCCACTCCCATCCACTCTTCAGAAATGGGTGCATCATGCACACTGAAAACCTCTCATTCCCAGAACCTCTGTAACCTGTTTCAGTCTATCCTAGTTAAGGACTGAAATCAGATGCTCCTGAGACCTCTGATGTTGAACTGGTCTGATCCACAGGGACCAAAAAGAAAGGTTCCCACTGCAGTGCCCCAAAAGTAACCATATCTTAGGCCTGGGAAGGGTGGGCTGAGTCACAGCAGGGTCATAGCTAGAACACACATTCCACTTGGGTCCCTGTTGACCCTCTCCTGCAGCCTTTGCTCTTCTGCTACCTCTCCTTGGCTTGGTGCATCCTCTTGTGGCCACTGGTGGAACAGCCAGCTTTTTTTTTAATGTTAAGCCTTGTAGTTGTTCTCAAATTTCTCT